GTGGGCCCCTGCTCTCCGGATCACCCAGGAGGTGCTGCAGTGTCCCCACATCCCCAGTCTTGCAGGCTGTGAACAGGGCATCGCGGAGCTGGATCTGAGGGTCTCCTGTGACAGAAGAACAAGAGGGGAAGCCTGATGGTACAGGACCATTTGGCTGACTGGGAAACCAACATATCGCTGTTAAAGCACTATCCTGATAGTTGGATGTGGGTATGTAGCAGAAATGTTAAGTCATGGCCTTGAACCCATAATGGAGCACCTGGTGGGAAGGCAGGGCCAACCCAAGAAAGCTCAGCTGCATGCAGCTCATTGAGTGACTGGAAGGGGGGGAGCCAGGATCCATCCCTTCCCAGACCTCTTTTAAGGGTGGGCAGTGGAGGTGAGGGGAATATCTTGCAGGAGATCTCTATGTCCCTGAGGCCTCGCAAAGGTAAGCAGCTCTTTTCCTTCATTTCTGCACCCATGGCTGCTGCATTTGGGCTCATTCTCATTTGCTGCAGCCAAAGACTTTGCCACCCCACTATTACTGCAGTACTTTCTATCCTATTATAGCATTACATGGGTACCAGCACTTCAGCATCTGTGACAGTGTACCGTGACTCTGTTGACAGCAGGCATGTCCTCTACTGAGATGAAACCTATCCCAACCTCATGCAGCAGCCTGGCTTAACCAGGTGCTGCCTGCCTTACAGAACAGGATCTAGGGTAATGGAACTGGTGTCCCTGGATACCTTCCCCTCTCCCATCAGCTTGTATTCTCCAATGAGCAGGCCAGTTGCTTGCCTGCAGCATCCCAGGCCTGCTGTCACAGCAAAAATCTCTGCTGCTCTCTAGTCTTATCTATCCAGGTAGAAACACTATGGTTCAGTTACTGTTCTGCACACACCGCATGCCTGAAAGCATGTGGCTACATTACAGCCACCCTGACACTTAACTGTTCAATGTACCTGCACAACAATTTGCTCTTCACCCCAACTGCAAAGTACCCAGCACACATGGCAGGTGCTCATCTGGCCAGGCTCTCAGCTCTGCTCACCTGCAGTCTCCCAAGGAAAGGGTTCAGCCCCAGACTTCCCCTTCAGTTCTGTAACCAGCTCCAGGCTGGGCTGCCCACCCTGGGTTCCACAGCATCCTGTCTCTTCAGCATGGAGCCCTGCAGTGGGATCAGGGGGTGAGGAAGCCTAGCCAGCACCTCAGGCGTGGCAGTCCCTTCCCCAGTACCTTCCCCCTCACCATTCTCCATCTTTTTATTTCTCTTCTTCCACCTTTTGCGGTTTCTCTTGGGCATCACTTCAAACTCCCGGAGGTCCAAGGTCCCCAGTGTCACTTCCACAGTTTCCAGTTCCCCTGCTGGAGTCTCTTCCTCCTCTTCTACCTCCTCCTCCTCTGGGGCTGATGAGGGAGAAAGGAGAGGGGCTGAAACCCCACACAGAGCATGAATTATTTGGGGCTTTCAGATAAGCACACCTTCCCCTTCTACTCAGCAGGAAGCCACTCTCTGCAGAGTCCCCGCTACAGCATTCTGCCCTGTTACAGGGCTGTAAATCTCATCCCCAGTTAACACCTGACCACCCCCCCCCGGCTCCCCCCTCGCTGGTTGAATTCACCACCTGTGTCCATCTGCAAGGAATCCATCTCAGCTGCCCGCTGCTTCTTCTGCCAGACTTTTCGTGGGGACCCAGTGATGTCCTCCAGTGGGGTGTCCTTCCCTAGACATCAAGGGTGTCATTGCCCAGGGATGGAGAAGAGGAGAACCACTAGATGTGCCCAGCACTCCAGAGTTACATGAGGGACCACGCCACCTCACCTGCACCGACCACAGGTGTTGGGGCACCAGGGCCAGGCCAACTCACCAAACACCTGCAGACTGGACAGCACAGCATGGACTCGCAGCACCTCCCTCAGGGTGGCCCTGCGTGTGCTGAGGGGGATGTGGCAGACACGGGGGTCTCTGGGGCTGAGGTGGGGGTTCCTGCTATCAAAGAGCAGCGCCCGGTTGTGACGAGGGGCTCGGAGAAAGATGCGCTGAGCTTCCTTGAGGTGCTGTGCCCAAGCTGCCAACAGGTCCTGAATATCCTGGGGAAGAAAGGAAGGTTCCATGGAGTCCTGAACGCACAGTGTGGGCACCAGCAGCCCTGGAACAGGCAAATTCAAGACACGGCAGCCTAAATTGGATCCTGATTCTGTTCTGGAACTCACAGCCTGCATATGAACTCCAACAGTGGCATGGCATCATCGCACAGAGCTGGTTATGACCAGCTGAAAACTGGTTTCCCTACTGAAAACCCAAGCCTGTGGTCTGTTCTCACCTTACGCAGTGCAGCTTCGTTGTAACGCCGCAGGGAGGCTCCTGCTGATCTGGGTGCTGATCCTGGAGTCTGGGCATCCCGTAGGCTCTGGGCTGTGCCCCGCCGGGCTCGCACAGTGTAGCGGTGGAAGGTCTTGTGTTCCTGTACCTGGGAGCTACAGCGAAGGGAAGGGCCCATCCAACAGCTAGCCATGCTTGTCCCTACCGAAACAACTTCAGCCTTGTGCCCTTGTACTCACCCACGGAACACAGCTCCTGCAAAGTGCCCACCGCCCATCATCAGCACAACCCAGCATGTGCTTGCACTGAGGCTCTGCAGTGAGGTTATCAACTCCATGGGCTCCTTGCTGCCACCCTGAGACACAAACACTCCTGCTAGCATCTATGGGATCACCCACTACTCCTTGCTGTCCCCAAGTCAAAGGACACTTCCCCTGCTGGCATATATACAGTCCTAGTCACACTGCTGGGGGCACCTCAGCTGCAGCTTCTTCATTCCCCTCAAGAGGCCCCAGAGACTTTCAGACGGATGTCTGCATGCCAGTGCCACCCCTCTTCTCTGGGTCCCCGTTCCCAACAAACTGGACTGTGACTTGCCTTCCCAGTGCTCAGTATGCAGCGATAGGCAGAAATGAACTGTCCCCTTGCATTGCGGAGCAGCACCTTGTGGGAGCGGGGACGCTGGGCGGTGGAAGGGCTGTTGCTGGCAGGGGAAGGCAATTCTGACTCACTGCTTGCATCAGAGCTCTCTGAATCAGACCCTGAGATGCTGGAAATATCACCTGCAGGGAAGAGAAAATGGGGCAATGGAGCAAAACAAAGATCATCAAACAGCCTACCCGAAACTTTGCAGGTGGCTCCAGGGATCAGCCCACAGCCCTGACGTATCAGACAGATGAAAAAGACTGTGAACATCTACAGGCACCTGGAGGCTTCACTCCTAGACAGAATAGCAAAGTCACTAGAAGTCTCTGGGTCCTGCTGAGGCAGCCCCATTTCTCACCTGCTCTGCTCTTCTCCTCAAATTCTTCCACCGTCAGCGCCCGGCGGCCTTGGAGTCGCTGCTTCAGGTTGAAGCGATGCCAGTCAAGTCGGTAGTGCTCAGTCTGTGAAGGGAAGAGTGAGCTAGCAGGGTCCCAGTGTTCCACCCCTACCAAAGACTCCATGCTGACAGACTCCAGCAGCCACACCAATTCTGGGGCTGCAGTGATCCTGAGAAGAAAATAACAGTACATCAGGCAGAGCCAGTTAGCCGTTAACCTAAACAGACCCAGGCCTGCACTGCGCTGTGCTGCATGTGCAGCTCGGCCTTCAGGCCTTTGCTGCGCCGCACAAATCCCATGGCTGCAGGACAAACTCAGCCGAGTCACCAGAAAAGAGCAGTCCACAGACAGCTCTCACTCAGTAGCAGCACCTCCTGCATGGCCTTGCATTTGTCCAGATCTGCATTAAGAAGTTCTCATATGAAGATCCTTTCAATTTTACAATAGGAAAGATGGATGGAGTTGCTCTCTTTAAAGAAAACACTGTGTAAGAACTTGAAGGACTACAATGGGAAAAACTTTGCAAGGACTGGATCTGTGCAGCCTGCGGCACCCTGATGGAGATCCATCACACCTTGTGACTCTCAGGACTACTAGCATTTAAAGAGATGAATGAATATCTGCACTATCCTCTTTTTCTTGTAGTGTTGCTTCAAGTGAAAGATATATCAAGTGATACTGTACAGAGTCTGAATGACTTTACCACTATTATGAGGAAACAGCACCTCCTGGTGCCAACAAAGCGTCACCAAACGTACTGGGCTATCCTCAAATGGCACAGTCCTGTCTGATCTGCCTGGATCAGACATGCAGAACTCCAGGAGAAGGCCCTAACGAAGCTGCCAGCAGCAGCTGTCACTGAGCAGCCTGGTGTGGGGCTGAAACCCCCAGCAGCACCCAGCAAGCCACGACAGTCTGCTCACCTGCTCCTCCCGGCTGCAAAACTCCCGACCGCAGGTTAAGCAGCACATCCGCTCCGGCACCTCGGGGACTGTGCCGGCCTTCTCCCCTCCGTGGGTGGCTGCAGGTTTCTCTGAAAGAAGACAGGACCGTGCAGCACCACAAACAGCGGGTCCCCCTGGGTCCCCTCTCAACCCCACGCTGCCTGGCTGCACAAGGGGCACAAGGCAGGAGAGGGAGCCTTGGGGATCCTGTGGTGATGGCATTAGGCCGAGGGATGCCTACTCAGCAGGGCAGCTCTGCTGCTCAGCACTCCCCGATGCCAGCCCGGCACGCAGCCCCCTTGCACCGCAGAGAACAACGCACCGTGCCCTGAAGGCGCTGGCTCGGCAGCAGAGGGATTCGCAGCGAACCCGCTTACGAGGGAAAGCCCGTGCAGGAGAACGGGGTCCAGGACAGCCTGGAAAACCGACCTGCTCTCGGGGGCCGTCATCGGCCCAGCTCCCCCCCCCGCTCCAGCCCGGGCCGCAGCCCCTATGCGGATCCCCCAGTGCCCCCTTGCGGCACCGGAAGTGCAGGCCGCAGCCGGGGTACTCTCAGCCAAGGCCGCTTCCGGCTTCCCCCTACGGGTCGCCGCGAGGGTCATCCCACCGCCCGCCCTCCCGCCCTCCGATCGGCCCAGCGCGGACCCGCCCCGCGATCGCCATTGGGCGGTGCGGCCGCCGGTCGCGCGGGGGGCGGGGCCGGGCCCGGGGCTGGGGCCGGCGGCGGCGGGGCCCGGCCATGGCCCACCTGGAGACGCAGTACCAGCGGCTGGAGAGCTCCTCTACCGAATCCCCGCCCGGCGGCGGCGATCTCCTTGTGCACGTCCCGGAGGGCGCTAAGTGTGAGCCCGGGGCCTGGGCAGCGGCGGGCCGGGAAGGGGTGGCAGGCCGGGGTGAGGCCCGCAGGCAGCGGCGAAGCGGGCTGGGGGCTACGGGCAGTGTGGAGCTGGGAGGGCCCCGGGCTCGGGTTATGCCTGGTTCTCACTCTGCCTCTCCTCCGTGCAGCTCCCTGGCACCACATAGAGAACCTAGACCTCTTCTTCTCTCGGATATCCTTTCACAGCCTGTGTGGGGGTCAGGGGGGAGCTGTGTAGGTGGTGGAGAGGTTTGGCTGAGAGCTGAGGGTGTTAGTGGGACAGCAGCCTCGCTGTCCTGTGTCAGAGGGAAGGAGTGTCCCAGCTGTTCTCCTTAACTGTAGCTTTCACGTCTATAATTTGCATCAGAAGAATGGCTTCACCTGCATGCTCATCGGAGAGATCTTTGAGCTCATGTAAGTCTGGAGTGCCCCTGTGTTGGGGCTGCAAAAGCCCATGGGGAGCATCGATGAGAGGCTGTCGAGCTTCTGCAGTTGAGTGGGCAGGAGGGTTCCTGTTACAGTCCTCCTGTCAACCCTTCATTAGAGTTTTCTGTGCCCCAGACCTTTGGTTCATTCTGTGGAACTGGTGCCCTTGAGCTTTCCTGCTGCCTGTGGAATGTGTGACCCTGCATCTTCAAGATGTGTGACCCTGTGCTCCCGCCTGCTTCACGTTTGGAGGAGGCAGAAGGCTTCCCTCATTATTTCTCTCTTTCTTCACAGGCAGTTCATCTTCGTGGTGGCGTTTACCACCTTTCTTATTAGCTGCGTTGATTACGATATCCTTTTTGCCAACAAAGCGGTAAATCACAGCCAGCATCCCAGTGAGCCCATAAAAGTGACTCTACCAGATGCTTTCCTGCCTCCTAATGTCTGCAGTGCAAGGTAGGGGCAGCCAAGGCACTTACCGCGCTTTCTCAGGTGCTGGTAGCTCTTGCCCAGGGCTCATCTCCCACTGCTACTGCCACCTTCTTTTTTTCAGAATCCAGGCAAACAGCTTCCTCATCTGCATCCTGGTGATAGCTGGGGTTTTCTGGATTCACAGACTTGTCAAATTTATCTACAACATTTGTTGCTACTGGGAGATTCACTCTTTCTACATCAATGCCCTCCGAATCCCCATGGTAAGTAGGTGGGACAAGGGCTACACATGGTACATGAAGTGGGAGGTGTTTTTTTGTGCAGTGAGAAGCAGCTCATCTTCACTCCTCTCTGGAGCCAGCTTCTCTGAGAGACTTGCACTGAATGCTCAGTCCTCTGCTTCAGCTTTTCCCAGGCTATGTGACTGCATGGTTTTCTTTCCAGCTTCTTCTCCAGCAGCCAGCTTGCTGCTTGTTACCCACTTTGCCCAGCCTGTCTCTCTCTGTGCTGGCACATGCATCTGCCGTCTGCTGCTCCATATGTTTAGTCTTCTGTGGTGGCCTTTTCTGTGACGCTTTTCAACAGAGAAGGCATAAGTGAAGGTATTCTTGGACCCCTGGGAAGCAGACACTATCAACTTCTTTGTTTACTTCTTTGATTGGAAAAATGGGGAGTAGAGCTACTTAGTTGTTGAAGATTGCGTTGGTGATGAGTTTGGCGAAGCTGGGCTCTGAGGCTTGTGCATGCATCCTAGTCCAGAGTCCTTGCTCTGATGGACAGCACCAAAGGGTGTTTGTGTGTATTTTGAGTAGAGACTGTATCTTGAGAAAGATGGGATGAGCCAAAAGGTTTGGTTTATCCCCTGCTTTTCTGTAGGCTGCCTCTGGGACTTTGGTTATGTTCCCATCCCCTACTCCTGCCTCCAAACAGCAGGACTGTGAGCTCTGGGAGGGAGGACCTATGCGAGACAGCACCTGTATTTGTGCCTCTAATACAACTGGCATGTGAGTGGGTGGGAAACAGCCACCTATGCTATTCGAGGGGCAAAGGGCACTGGGGCATGGTTTGGGGCTTGCTGGGATGACTCAGACTGAAGCAGTGCAGGAAGAGGTGCCTGGTGCCGTGGTTGCTCGTGGCTCGTACACACCCTGAGGTGTGTGCTGGGTTCTGCTGTTGGAACAAGCTCAGCCCAGCCTCCATCCTTGGAACCTGCCCCAACCTCACTGCTTTCCCTTCCAGTCCAACTTGCCCTACTACACCTGGCAGGAGGTACAGGCCCGCATCGTGCAGATCCAGAAAGAGCACCAGATCTGTATCCACAAGAAGGAACTGACAGAGCTGGACATCTACCACCGCATCCTCCGCTTCAAGAACTACATGGTGGCCATGGTGAACAAGTCACTGCTGCCCATCCGCTTCCGCCTGCCCCTGCTGGGAGACACCGTTTTCTACACGCGTGGGCTTAAGTATAACTTTGAGCTCATCTTCTTCTGGGGGCCTGGCTCACTCTTTGAGAACGAGTGGAGCCTGAAGGCTGAATATAAGCGGGCTGGGAATCGCCTGGAGCTGGCTGAGAAGCTCAGCACTCGCATCCTTTGGATTGGCATCGCCAACTTCCTCCTCTGCCCCCTCATCCTCATCTGGCAGATCCTCTACGCCTTCTTCAGCTACACGGAGATCCTGAAGCGGGAACCAGGCAGCCTGGGTGCCCGCTGCTGGTCTCTGTATGGCCGCTGTTACCTCCGTCACTTCAACGAGCTAGACCATGAACTGCAGTCACGTCTCAGCAAAGGTTACAAGCCAGCTTCCAAATATATGAACTGTTTCATCTCCCCTCTCCTCACTATTGTGGCCAAAAACGTGGCCTTCTTTGCTGGCTCCATCCTGGCAGTGCTCATTGCTCTCACCATCTATGATGAAGACGTGCTGGCGGTTGAACACGTCCTGACCACAGTCACCCTTCTCGGGGTGGGCATCACAGTGTGCAGGTGAGGGAGGTCGATGCTGAACAGGGCTGTATGCTGCTGGCAGTATGGTGGAGGAGCAGTGAGGTTGATAGCCTTCATTTGAGTGCATTTTTAGTGTTACAAGTGGACATGAATCTGTGTGAGTGAAGGGCACGGCTGGGGCGAGTCAGGGCAGGGCAGGCAGGAGAGGGGGCCAGTGGTGAACTTGGACACAGTGGCTATGGTGATGGCTTCAGTGTTGATATAAGGGAAGTTGCTGGAGCCATACAGTAACATCCCTGGGCTGGGCTGGCAGGAGGGTTTGGGTTGGAGTGAAGGCCACAGGTGAAGCTGTAATATGTGTCAGTCTTCCATCATCCCTGCATGAAATCTTCCAGGAATACTATGACGTTTCCCTGTCTTGCCCTGCAGGTCTTTCATCCCCGACCAGCACCTGGTGTTTTGCCCTGAGCAGCTGCTGCGAGTCATCCTGGCACACATCCACTACATGCCTGACCACTGGCAGGGCAATGCCCACCGCTATGAGACGAGGGATGAGTTTGCCCAGCTCTTCCAGTACAAAGCGGTGAGCCTAGCTTGCAAGGGGCTGGGATGGAAATCCTCTCCCATCCCTGGACTGGCACAGGAACAAGGTGGTTTTCTCAGAAGCACCCTGCCATAGAAGGTGGCCTAAAGCTATGGGTTGGCTTTGGGGCTGGCAAGTTTCTTGACATCCTCACCTTTGTGCTGAGCTCATCATCTTTGTCCTCAGGTTTTCATCCTGGAGGAGCTTCTGAGTCCCATCATTACCCCCCTGATCCTCATCATCTGCCTGCGTCCCAAATCCTTGGACATCGTTGATTTTTTCCGCAACTTCACCGTGGAGGTGGTAGGGGTGGGTGACACCTGCTCCTTTGCCCAGATGGACGTGCGCCAGCATGGCCACCCAGCGGTACGTCCTGTGGGGGCTGTTTTCATACCAGGACTCTCTCAGGAGAGAAGAATTGGGATATTTGGAAATCTAGAAAGTCTGACTGATGATAACTGATTTAAAAGCTGGGCTACTTTAGCCCAGGAGAGAGGCAGCTTACTGGGGATGGGATATGTATATTCCCTTTTACAAAGTCTGCTCTGGAGAGAAAGAAAATTAGCCTGTTTCCTGGGCCTTTCCTGAAAATGTTACTTGCCAGGAAAGAATTTCTAGTGACAGGACCATGAACTAGCAGGGGATGGACTCACTGTGGCAGGCAACTTACAAAAACAGCCTGTGGGTTGGACAATACAAAACAAACCTTTCAGCTCTGTGACTGGCCTTCACCTCTCTAGTTCCCTTCCAGCAATGCATATTTAGGGACGGAGAAGGAAGGTAGGCTGCAAAGGCTGAACTAGTTATGGGGCTTTTGGTACAGTGCGTGCCAACTGCCTGGGGATATGGTCCATCATGCAGGTTGTTGTGTACTATGTCCAGTCTAGCTGGTGTGCAGGATTCCTAGGTTTGGCACGGGTGTAAAGGAGATCCTGGTCTTCTCTGTGCTTTACAGTGGATGTCAGCAGGGAAGACGGAGGCCTCCATTTACCAGCAGGCTGAGGACGGCAAGACGGAGTTGTCCCTCATGCACTTTGCCATCACCAACCCCAAGTGGCAGCCACCCCGTGAGAGCACGGCCTTCATCGGCTTCCTGAAGGAACGGGTGCAGCGGGACAGCAGCATGGCACTGGCCCAGCAGGCTGTGCTCCCTGAAAATGCCCTCTTCAGTTCCATCCAGTCCCTGCAGTCAGAGTCAGAGGTGCGCAGGATGGAGGAGAATGTGCTGTGGTTCTGGAGTGTTCGCTGGGTGCTGGCAAAGTGTGATAATCCGGCCTTCAGGACAGACTTTGCCCTTACCTGGGCTGTGTCCAGGAGTGCAAATATGATGAATCAGCACTCACTGGGACTAATTCTGTTTTTTTAGAGAAGGGCAGCAAGGGTTTCTTGCCTCCTCTGAGGTGGGAATGGGACTAAAGAGAGCTGGGGTCTCGGTGGGGATCAGGCCTCCAAGTCTGCGCAGGACAGTGATTCTCTCTCCCTTTTGTCTCTGCAGCCTCACAGCCTGATTGCCAATGTGATAGCGGGCTCCTCAGTGCTGGGATTCCACATGGGCCGTGATGGACAGGCCTCTCGTCATCTCTCTGAAGTGGCTTCAGCCCTGCGTTCCTTCTCCCCACTCCAGTCTGCCCAGCAGACCTCTGGTGGCTTTCAGACAGCAGGAAGAGATGGAGAGGGAACCCAGCCTCGTGGTTCCAGTGCCATGACAGCCTCTGGGTAAGGCAGCCTTCACTGCCTGACCCTAGAGCAGAAAGAGGCTTGGTGGTATTTGTGGCCACATAAACATCACTCTTGTTTCCCATGGCAGTGCTGATGCGAGGACTGTGAGCTCAGGGAGCAGCGCCTGGGAGGGTCAGCTGCAGAGCATGATCCTGTCAGAGTATGCCTCCACTGAGATGAGTCTTCACGCACTCTACATGCATGAGGTGAGTTGAACTAACCAGAGGGGATATGGGCCCAGCGCAGACAGGACTGCGGTGCCCTGCTTTTGTTAGCTTGGATTGACTGGAAGTGCCTTGCTGGGGAGAGGATGCACTGGGGGTGCAGTGGGGCATCTGTAGCTGACCCACCTGTGTCTTGGCTCTGCAGTTGCACAAGCAGCATGCCCAGCTGGAGCCTGAGAGGCACACCTGGCACCGGCGAGAGAGTGATGAGAGTGGTGAGAGCACCCATGAGGAGCTGGATGGTCAGCGAGGTGCCCCTGTCCCCCTGCCTCGCTCTGCCAGCTATCCCTTCTCGTCACGGCAGCCTGCTGAGGAGACAGCCACGCTGCAGACGGGCTTCCAGCGACGCTATGGTGGCATCACAGGTATGGGAGCCAGGGCAGAGGTCGGAGCCTTCTGGTCACAGTGCTGTAACCCATGTCCCATAATAACGGCACAAACAACGTGCTTATCTCTGAAGACTGACAGCCCCCCAGGTAGCTAATCCTCCTCGCCTCTCCTGCAGACCCAGGCACAGTGCACAGAGCCCCATCACACTTCTCCCGCCTCCCACTGGGAGGCTGGGCTGAGGACGGGCAGTCAGCAAGACACCCAGAGCCTGTGCCAGAGGAGAGCTCAGAGGATGAGCTTCCACCGCAGATCCACAAGGTAGGGGAGGAGGCTGTGGCTGACAGGGGCAACGCGTGCTCTGGATGCCAGGCTGCGGGCCAGCTGCCAGCACCCCTTAGGTGTCACATTCCCTCTCTGTCTTGCAGGTATAGCCTTGCAGACTGGGGATCTTGTGGGGGTTGCAGACTGGGAGCCGCCTGGGCAGCAGGATGCAGTGTCAGCCCGATTCCTCTCCTATCCCAAGGGGATAGGGTGGCCATGGGCTCCATTTTGTTGCCATCAATTGCTGATGAGACAAAACTGCCAGGCAAGCAGCTGTCCAGCCGTGTGTCAAGTCAACGCCACTCTGACTGTTGTGGGGTGAATGCGTGTGTGAGTACATACATGTGTCTGTGTTCACATCTGTGTCGTCCGTGTCGGAGGATCGCTGCAGAGCCGGTGACAGCTGACGGGACTGGCAGCGGGGAGCTGTGGATGGGCTCGGAGCCTGCAGCGGCAGCTGCTGTTTGAAGGGATGTGACAAGGCATGAGCTCCAGATGTCCGCCCAAGAGCTGGGACCCGCCTCCAAAATGAAAGAAGGGAGCTGGTGTCCTCCGGGGATGGCTGACAGCAGCGGGAGCTGTCGGAGCTGCCTTGCTCAGCCTGTAGCAGTGCTGAAACCACACCTGCAGCCCTGGGGAAGTGCCGTGCGCCGCATTCCACCTCACAGGACCAATGTTGCACACCTCAGTCTGGAACGGAACAGCAGTGGGGCAGTCAGCCACCCCTCTCTGTGCACATGCGTTTACTGTCCCGGCATCCTGCAGCAGGATGGTCCTCAGCCGCTACTGTGTGCTTTGAGTTGGGAACAGCTCTGCTGCAGCTCCTCCCCAGCTCCTGTGACATCTGCCCTGTCCCAGGCATGCGGGAAAGGGTCCATGGAGTGGCAGACCTGGGTCTCTGTCCCTCCCCGCTGGCAGCCTCCATGCTCGCCCTCTGGCTTGGGCTAGAGCAGCACTTCCTGCCCTGCACGGTGCTCAGGGGTTATGAGCTGCTCCCAGGCCCTCTTGCAGTGCCAAAGAGCTGGTGCAGCCTGATGTCCCCTGGGAGTGCACGCAGCCCGCTTGGAGCCCACAGTGAAGGTCTTGTGCTCTGTGTGCTGATTCCCTTCCCCCAGGCATCATAAAGGCCTTTTTCCTATGCCCAGTCTGCGATGCATCAGGCCTGTTCTTTCATATCAACCCTTTACTCCTGCCTTAACAATGGCTTCAGTGTGTCCTGCATCTCACCCAGGGGTTCCTGGCTCCTTCCCTTCCTTCCTGAAGCAATCTTTTTGCAAGGGTTGCTATGGAGACCATAAGCTGAGCAGCTGCCCCATGTCATGG